GATAGTGAAAAAAAAGAAAAAGAGAAATGTAGGAGTTAAAAGAAGTTCTATAATGAGGACATATTGTAAGTACAACAGAGCACTGCAGAATGTGCTTGTTCAATAAGGGAAGAAATGAAATGACATGATAATTAGGTGGTAGCCAGATGGGCATGGAAGCCTGGGAAATTGAAGTTGATTGTTCACTTACTGTCAATGGAAGAAAGACTGTTTATCTTAAGCTCGTGGATAATTTTCTGAGCCTTTATCTCAATTTTGGGCTCATTTTACTTTAGAAAGTCTTGGCATGTAGTATCTTCAGGAATGAGATGCTTAGAATTAAATTTAAAATGAAATCAGTGGAGATCTTAGTTTAGTATGGTTTATACCTAGACTTGTTTTTTAGCTTAGAATTATCTGATAGTTTTGCTCCTTACTAGGTAGATACTTTGAAGAAGGTGATTGAGTATCTCTATGCTTCAGTTTCCTTCTTCTTAAAATGAAGAAGAAAATAAGGACTAGAAGAAGCAGGATCAGGAAAGGGACAGGGGAACAAAAATAGTAATAACTTTCTCACAAAGATTCCTTAAGCCAATCAGGAGATCACAAATGTGCACCTCAAATTACAGTGATGCCTTAGTTCATAACAATTCTTCTCCACTGTTGGGGGGAGTGCAGGCTGGTACAACCACTGTGGGAACTAGTGTGGAGATTCCTCAAAAAGATGGGATTGGTGGTCCCATTCAACCCAGCTATTGCCTTCCTGGGTGTTTTTCCAGAAGAACTGAAAGCATCATACCCCAGAGATCTATGTGTCTCCATGTTTATATAGGTGCAGTTTGTCATACCTAAATCTTGGAAACAACCCAAATGCCCATAAACTGAAGAATGGATAAAAGAGATGTGGTATTTTTATTTACTTTCTAAAAATACAATACAAAATAGTAATAAAAAACAATTAGATATGATACAAAATTTCACTAAGCAAAATCATATGAAGTTGACAGTATTTGTTGTATTTCATAGTGTTGTTTTCAAATTTGTTGTTCAGATTACCAGATATATACATGCAAAATTGTGAAAAAAAAGAAAAACAGTTATGAGAAATTAAGAAGAGAGAAAAAGGCAAAAAAAAAAAAAGGAGACAAGAAAAAACAAAACAAAAAGCATTAACTGCTCCTTTCCATAGACCAGCAGAAGAGCACAGTATAATTATCCAAACTGTCCTGTTTACATACACAAATATATCTCTTTCCCCCACTTCCTCTCCTGTCCTTCTCCTCAGTAATTCCGTCATTTTGAACAACTTTATTCCATTTCCACAGTGAGATGTGGTACTTTTTATACAATGGAGTACTACTCAGCTATAAAAAAGATAAACTCAAGGTTTTTATAGGTAAACTAGAGACTATACTCATTTTTTTTTTGGCAGAACCAGGGATTGAACTCAGGACCTTGCATTTGCCAAGGAAACGCTTATTCCACTGCGCCATCTCCCCAGCCCCAAGACCATACTCACAAGTGAAATAAATCTGACCCACCTATATGAACATTGTATTGTCTCACTAAACACCTGAAAGAGTAAACAAAAGGTACAATAGATACTGTTAAAGGGAAGAATCTGTTCAAAGGGAAGGAACAACTGGGATGAGGAAAAGGACAAAAGAAAGAGGGAAAGGAATATTCCTCTCCTTTTTTTTCTCTTAACAACCTTTATTTTTATTTTTTAGATTGCACATGGTAAATAAATTACTTAAAAACTTAAATGAAAATATCAGGGGCTGGTGAGATGGCTCAGTGGTCTAAAGCACCTACTTAGAATAAGCTAAGCTAAGCAAAGCACAGGGACCAGGGTTCAATCCCCCAGCACCACAAGCCAGCCAGCCCCGCCCCCTGGTGGGCTGAGCTGGCCACACACACACACAAAATAAATAAATAAATAAATAAGAAAATATCAGTGAAAATTGTCCAAAATAAAAATGAAGAAGAATTTACAGATCAGTCATATAATAGTTCATTGTGTCAAAATCAAGAAACTTATATTCATACAATTAGAATTTCCAAAGTAGAAAGAGGTGGGCAATAAATAAAGATTTAAAATCTCTGAATTTAGTTGAAATTATAACACATTTCCAAGAAAAATGAACCTTTTGCACAAGAAATTTTAATAAAATCATACTCAGATACACAAAAATGAAATTGTCAAAAACTTATTGCAAGAAAAAAATCAGTAAAGCATATACATTAAAAAATTAGCTATGGAAGAACAAAATTAAAAAGCATCTTATTCCACATTAGGAAGAAAAAAAAAGACCAAGTGTGTAAGAAACTAGAGTAATTAAAGGACTGAAAGAAAGGAAAAAAACAGATCTGTCCTCTTTGAATTTTATACTTAGCAAACATACCTTTGAAAACTAAAAGTAAGATATTTTTTCCAGTTATACAAACTTGAAATATTCTAATACCTCCAGACATAGCATATAAGTAATAACAAAAAGCATTATTCAGAAGGCAAGAGAGAGGAAGGGGCCGGGGAGATAGCTCCATGGAATAAGTGCTTCCCTGGCAAGCTCAAGGGACTGAGTTCAATCCCCGGTTCTGAAAAAAAAAAAAAAAAAAAGAAGGCAAGAGAAGTTGCTGTATGTTCCTTGATGAAGAACAAAGAGCTCTCAAAATAATAGTTATGCAGGACCACGTAAAATATATTAGATGAATCCATTTAAAAGGTCATTAAAGATTTCTATGAAACAGTATCAATATTAGCTTCTTTTTTTTTTTTTTTTTTTTTTTTTTGGCAGAACCGGGGATTGAACTCAGGCCCTTGCACTTGCCAGGGAAGCGCTTTATCCACTGAGCCATCTCCCCAGCCCAGTATCAATCTTATGTCAGGTTATACACATATTTTTTTCATATGTGTGTGTGTATGTATAAAAGATAGGGAAGAAGTAATATAAAGTCAATGGAAAATGGAAATATACTTTTTAAAGTTTCTAATACTAGGAGAAAATATACCATGTTTTTAAATAGATTGTAAGTCAAATATACAGTATAAATCTTAAAGCAAAAATTAAGATTAAGCAATATTCAGAAAATTAAATACTAATTAATTAAAAATTAAATGTTTCAAAACAATTGAACTAAGAAAAAGTTTTCATGACAGTAAAGAATTATTAAGAATAAAACAAGATAAATACCGGAATGACAAATAAATGACCAGCACTTCTAACAGGCTGGGGATAGGATATTGTACAAAGTTCTAGTGTGTTGTGGACATGGATAATGTCCATGACACTCACTGGTGTCCAGGTGTCACTTGTAGGACTGAGCTACTGCTATTTCCTTGATATCTACCCTGTAAACCCAGACAGAATCATGACCCATAGGGTACAGGAGAAGTCCATTTGTAGAGTATGCTGGTGGAAATATCTTGCTGCTGTATACAAAAGAATAACTGAAAGACTGCTTTTGTATACCTCTTTTTCTCCTGTGTTCAGTTGTTTACCTATTTGGTGGGTTCTTTCCATTCTCATTCATGGAGTTGTGGTCATTTTGCTCCTTCTCTAGAACATCATGTAGTAGTCTGTGTAGGCTTGGCTTTGTCATCATGAAATTAAGTTGTTCTTTGTCATGGAAGTATTTCACTTCTCCATTATACTTGAAAGAGAGTTTTTCAGGGTATATCAGTCTGGGTTGGAATTTGTTTTCTTGCAAGACTTGAAGTGCTTTGCTCCATGCTCTTCTTGCCTTGATGGTTTGTGAAGAGAAATCTGCCATTATCCTGATGGGTTTTCCTTTAAACGTGATCTGTTTGTTTTCTTTAGTGGCTTTGTAGTATACTGTTCCTGTGCTGAATTTCTGGGATCTTGATTATTATATGTCTGTGTGTGGTTTTAATTCGGTTGATGTTATTTGGAGTTCTATACGCTATGGTTACCTGAATGTCAGATAGTTTCCCCATATTTGGGAAGTTTTCTGCTATTATTTCCATCCATATTCTTTTCATATCATTTATATTAAATCCTTCCTTCTCATTGATGCCTATTAGTCTCACATGGTTCATGTTTGCATTGTCTTGCGGGTGTTGAATTATTTTTTCCTGCATCCTAGTTGTTTTTAAGAGATCTTTTCTTACTTTTTTACTAGCTGCAATGGTGTCTTTAAGGTCTAATAGTGTATTCTCATTTTCATTCAAATGGTTTTGCCAGCTTGTGATTGAGGTTTTAATTTCCTGTATATCACTTTATTTTTTTAAATTTTATTTTTATTTATTTATTTATTTATTTATTTATTTTTGTGTGTATGTGGCCAGCTCAGTCTACCTGGGGGCAGGGCTGGCTGGCATGTGGTGCTGGGGGATTGAACCACGGTCGCTGTGTTTTGCTAAGCTTGTTCTAAGTAGGTGTTTTAGACCACCGAGCCATCTCACCAGCCCTGTCACTTTAGATATGCTTCATGCATTCTATTTCTTTCCTATATTTCTTATTCAAGGACTCCATCATTTTTATATTCTGCTCTACTTTTTTTAATCAGTGTCTTCTTTAGAAGCACTTAGTACTTCTTTCAGTATAGCTATCATTTCTTTTTTTACTTCAGAAATTATTTTTGATCTGATTTCCACTATACCTTTCTATAGTTGTTTCTT